AAGAATGATCAAACTATCATTCTGAAAAAATAATTTTATATTTAAATGATGTAAAATCATCTGTTATAATAAATCATATAAATAATATTTAAATTTTAGATTAATTGAAATTTTAGTTCAATTTACAATATAAATTTGATAAATCTTTTTTCTTTTTCTTTTTTTTTATGAGGTGATGTTTGGGTAGAAATTTAATTTTTTTCTTTCTTTTTCTTGTTTTTTTAGGAAATTCTTATTTTAGAATTAAGATAAGCAAATTGGAAGTAATTTTTAAATTGTTTTTAACTCTTTTTTTATTTTATTTTTCTTTATTTTTTTAAGAAAATTCTTTTTTTAAACTAAGAAAAGCCTTTTGAAGATGTTATTTTGGAGGTTTTCTAATTGTTTTTTTTATTTTTTTTTATTTTCTTTAGAAATACACAAAGATAAATAAATCAGAAATGGTTTTTGGTGATTTTTTAACTATTTCTTTATTTTTTATTTACTTTCTTTAGAAATACATTAAGATAAACCTTTTAAATGTAATATTTTAGTGATTTTTACCTGTTTTCTTTATTTTTTTCTTATCTTTAAAAAAAAACAAATGTATTTTTATTCAATGAAATATATTCTTTTTGAGTAATTTATTATATAATAATAAAATAAAATTATAAATAATAAATAAACAAAAAATAAGTTTTATTAATTTTAATTTTATAAATAGTTGCTTAATTAATTTTTAGCTATCTTTAAGCTGATTTTTGACTGACTTTAAGTTGATTTATGCTGAACTTTGACTAATTTTTAATATAAATGCTGATTGATAACCAATTTTCTATTTATTCAAAATGCTAATTTTTTTGGTAATAATTAGCAGAATTAGACTATATTTTGGCTAACTTTCAGCACATTAAAATTGTATTATTTTACCTAATGATATATCAAATAACTACCAATTATTAAATGATGATTTTTTATTGAGTAGCAGTTGTATTGAACAACTTCAGTTATAATCAAAATGCTGATTTTTTTGGTAATAATCAACAGAAATTTGACTATATTTCAGCTAACATTTAGCATTTTAAAAAAAAATAAAATGGATTATTTCAACTAGTATGAAAGAGAAAAATAAAAAAATTAAAAGAAAAGAAGTAAAATAAAAAGACAATTATTATATTATTATAAAGAAAAGAACACATATCTACTTAAAATGTTTTAAAGAATTGTTAATTACATATAACTGATTGAATTATATTTTGCTATAAATTTTAAGTTATTTTATTTAATATATATATTTTAAATACATATAATAATAAATTAATTATATTAAATAAATAAATTATAATAAATATAAACATTTTTAATGTAATATATGTGATCTATTTGTAGATCTTTAGTAAATTAATTTAGTAAATTAACTAGAAAATGGGAACCGTTATAAGTCCAAAGCTTTTTTATGTAATTTAATAATAATAAAGTTTTACACTAATTACAGAAATGCTAAAAGTATTGTGGTTCCTTCCTTTATTTGTTGTTTACACCAATCATACTGATTGACTCAAACAACAAGCGGACGGACATCTGGATATTTTGAGTCAAACAGCATGGAATTATATAGTCCTTTGCTACGCTCTGAATAATTATATGTAGATCATTTTGATAGGTTGTTAGAAAAATCAAGTTTAAAGAATTTTTAATATTATCAAAAATTGAAATGCAATAAAAATTAAAATATTATTACAAAATTCTTAGAATATAATTTTTCTAACAACCTTTTCATTTATAAATCTATTTACATTTATTACTCATTTAAGATTTCTGTTCTAATAGAAATTTCTATTACTTGATAAAAGAAGGTTTGAAATTCTGAAGATTTGAGTTTTTGAATCTATATTAATATTAGAGCCTGAATAGTTATAATTTTTTAAATACTAAAGATTTTGAATAATTAATATACTCAAATAGTATATTAGTAATAATAGATATTATAAACTAATATTATATAATTAATTAAGCAGATAAAATATTATTATTATCAAAAGTTATTTTAAAAAGAAAGTATTAAGTAAAATTAAGATGCAATTCTTCTTACGTCAAGCTTTCAAAATAAATAGTAGGTTTTTTTATTTTTTTATTAATATTATTTTAAAGGTATATGGGAGGCAGTCAGTAAAAAAGAGGGAAATCCAAAATTTTTGTTAATTTTAATTATTAAATCAAATTTGTGCACATGATTAAGATTAGCTAAATGGTCTAATAATATAAATTTAACCAAAATTTAGATTTTTCCTTTTCTACTGACCGTCTCCTATATATCAGATAATTATGCTATTGTATGATTTTTAGGAATTATTAATTTTACTGATACTGCTACTCAACCAACTGTTAATCATATAAACCAATTAATATTAGCAAAAATTTAAATGACCATAATTTATATCACTTGGATAGTGATAGTGTAAGTACAATATTTGGTAAATTTTTTATAATTTTTTTTAATATATTTTAAAAGTTTTTATAATAAATTAACTTATAATATACTTATATACTTGTAGACCATTGCAATGGTGTAGCTGCTATTCTTAAAAAACAAAATCCATTTTTACTTGAACATTATTATATTGCACATTGATTAGCATTAACTGCAAAAGATGCTGTTGAAAAAGTTTCATATTTTGAAAATTATAATTCAGTTGTAAATAATTTATATACTTATTTTAGTTCTTCTTATAAATGAATAATTCATCTTAAAATAATTGAATAAAGTTTAAAAAAGTTTAAATGATCCAGATTTAGTTTTTCTTAAAATAATCAAAACATGATGACTTTCATTTAGTAATATAATATCTAATTTATATTGGATTTTAATATTTATAGTTATTGCATTAAAAGAAGATTCTGAAAATAATATTGTTATGACTATTAGACTTTTGAATGCAATGGATCATGATTTTTTTTTAGCAACTAAAGTAAGTATAAAATTTAAAATCAAATAATTTTTTACATAAAATAAATTAACTTTATTTAATTTGTAGTTTTTTGCATATATTCTTTATGATTTATAAAGTTTAACAAATCTTTTTTAAGCTGATTATGTTATAATTTTAGAAGTTCAATATCATTTAAAAACTATTATTGAAACAATTACAATACAATATATTAATTGTGATAGAATACTACCAAATTATGGTAATTTTTTTAAACAATATATGAATAATAAAGCAATTCTTTCTGAACAACTTCCTAGATTTATTTCTGACTTTGCAAAGACAACTGTCAATTCACTTTATGATCATTTTCCTGATTCAGAGCATTATGAATATTTGATCTACATGAATTACCACTACATTATGATCAATTTATTTATATGATTAACATGAAATTCAAATATTATTAGATTTTTATGGTATCTAAACAATTACAAAATGTAGAACATTCTGCTATTATTAACAGTGAGATATTAACAAATGAATGGAATGTATTTAAATATCGATTACTTTAATATCATTCAGTATCAATTTCACATACTTGAAAAACTTTTCTTAATCTTTCAAACTTTTCTATTCAATTTCCTAATATTTCAAAACTTACATGTGTATTTTTAACTACTCACCTTTTTAATGCTATAATTAAATGTATTTTTTCACAATAAAATTTAATCAAAACTAGAATTAAAAATCACATTTAACTTTCTATTTTGCAAATATTACTTATGATTGCAATTAATAAACCAAATAGTAAAATTTTTGATTGAAAAAAAGCTTATCAATTTTGGTATTCAAAAGACAGACAAATTTAGTAATTCTTTGTATTTACTATAAGAATTAAATAAATAAAATAATTGATTTTTTATGTGATAAAATTATATATTAATATATTGTATATGTGTATTTAAAATGAAATTTTATATATATAAACGTGTATATATTTTACAATATATACATAAAATAATGTTATATATCTTGCACATATGCATGATTTTTTTGATTTGAATTTTAAACACTGGATATACATATCAGATCATAACTTTGTAGAATATGATGACCATAATAATATCTATATAATGTGTTGGTAACCACCAAATGGTGTAAGTTCGCTTTGTCTTATTATTTTATTAATAAATTTTTAAAATTTAAATTTTAATAATTAATCTTTAAACTTAAAAACAAAACCATTAAAAAATATGTTTTTTAATAGATAAGTATCAAGATACTTAATATAATAAATATTTTGTTAAAATATAAAATTTTTAATTAAAACTTATTTATATTTTAATTTCTATTATAATAATAATATTTGTATTTTATATATACAAGAGAATTGATTAAAAAAATGAGATTAAGTATCAAATAATTATTAATAAATTATTATTTTTTTGTAATAAATAGTAATAAATAAGTATACAATCTTTTTTTATTTTATTTTTTTTTTATTTTAAATATAAATAAAATGAAATCAAAGAAAATTCATTTGTAAAACTATTCAAAATATGATGGAGTAAAATATTAAAATAATTTAAGAAAAAAAACAAGTTATTTAATTGAAAGGTTAACCCTCTATCATCTCTTATTGAACTGAAAAAGATTTTGGTAGGATTTCCAATTCCAAATATGGTTTGAAAGTTATTAGTGAGAATTAAATTACAAATTTCTGACTTTAATGTCATTATAAACCCCACTGTATTTTTTCGATCCTTGATTTTTTATATTCGCGATTTCAATTTACTATTAAAAGAAGAATTAAAGATACTATTCGAGTTATTTATTATTCCAATTGTATTATATGGAATTTATTGAATAATAGAATGCTTTAGAATACAATTGAAATTATTATATGATCAACACGTGTATTTCTTACCACAAAGATTAAAAATATGTACAACTTGTATTTCGTGGATTAAATAAAGAAAACTTTCAAGGAAAAAAAATATATACTTAAAGAAAATGTAAAATGAAAAATCGATCGAAGGTTTTTTTTTTTTTAAATAAAAATATTCTGATTAATAAACAAAGAATTTTCATTCATTGATCGTTGCGTTCTCGGTATTGAAACCATTCAGGAGGCAAATTCTTTGCTATAACAGCTTGGGCAATTTCCGTAGGCAAATTATTAATAAATTCTTGTTGTTCTAACTGATGTTGCTGTTGCTGTAACTGTACCTGTTGAGCATCATATAAACTTTGTTGGTATTGTTGCGCAGCATAGAGTAATTGCTGTTCTTGTAACCAAAGTTGGTATTGAGAAAATGGAGAGGATTGATAATTTTCCCATTCATTTTGAACGACTGATTGGATTAACTTATTGAAAAAAAAAGAAGGGCTGAATATCAGTCAACTTTTCAGTGTGCAACTGCGCCTCAGCGAAATCAGAAAAAAATTTACTACATATTGAGAAGATGCGATCACCGGAGTGATCTACGTAAAAATAGTAGCAAAAACTAACGTTTTATAAAAAAAAATAAAAAAAAATAAAAAAACTAATATATATCGATATATATATTTTTTCAAGTAAGTGATTTATTACCTTTTGTTGTTCTTGCCATTCTTCATCGTCGCTAACATCCATAACATTCTCTAATTCTTTTCGTCTTTTTTGAAAAGCCTTAAACCTTTCTTCTTTAAACAATTTTTCCATAACATTTTGTTTAAAATCCTGGTAAAAATAAACTTGTAGCAATGCACTAAAATTTAAAATGAAACTGTAATTTAGGAATAATAAAATATAAAAACCTGCATCCACATATCAGCGTTGAATTTCATAACTGGTTGGTGGTGAGCACGCATTGGAGGAGGAGGAGAATGATGACGTTTACTATAAAGTGAGCCATTTTTACCGTTATCTGCCTTGTCAGATAAACTTTTAGAACGACGACGGTAAGTATTTGTTTTTGGAGAATGAAGATATTCTGAATGTTTCATGATTTTTTTTTTAATTTTATTTTCGGAAAGATTTATTTTATTTAGTTATGGGAGAATGAAGAATCATTACATTTACATTTTTTATGCATCTGGTGACTCTCATGACCCCATTATCAATGTAATGTCATGAGAACATCCGCAGCTAGTAGGATTATGCATTTTGTGATATCATAAGTACAGTTTATTCCTTATCTTAAGCAGTACAATATTTAAAAATTCTTGCGCCCACGGTCATGTGACTAGCCCTATGTCGCAGCAAAAAATCCAAGTTTTTCAACGCGTTCTCTTCGCGATTGCTTTAAATTAATATCGTTTTCTTCTCGTCGGACCATTTCGTCCAAACTTTTTATCAAGCTTTGACCTAATGATCGTCCTGTCTAGAAATTAAGAGTTTATACAGTTGAAAATGTTTATTTCTTCCTATTAAGAGTTCAGATGCGCAAGTTATTCCTTAATCTAAACCTAACTAGCACATGTGAAATCGCCCATTGATTCGAAAGCAAAATCGATGAAATTAATAAATAATTAATAGATACCTGCACCATTTCATTTAATAGACTTGGATCTATGCTTCCGCTTCCACTCTTCTGAAGTCCACAAACTTTACCATCCTTGTTCACTGTTACAAGCAGTTTAGCTTCTGTCGTAAGCTCTTCTAATGGAGTAGCATCAACAATATGACGTGATCCGATCTATACACGAAAAGAAAAATTAGTACACAATTTTTTATTTTTATTTTTTTTAAAAAAAAAGAAAGTAATTTTAACCTTATTCAAAGTGATGGCGACTGGAACCTTATCCCAGCCTTCAATTCTCTCCCATCCTTCGACGTCATCTGATATATCGAATATTATTTCTCCATCGCCACTATCCTGTATAATTGTTTTTGGTACTTTTGTATTATAAAGTGCGGCTCGCGTGGTCATAAATATTGTGTCTAATAAATTCCCGGCATAGTCGAAAACCTAATTCAATAGATAAAAAGAAAAAAGAAGTTCAATAAATTAAAATAATTAACATAATAATTGTATTAACTATAAAATGTACACACTATGGCATCAATATAGACAATCCAACATTGCTGTCCGGGGATGATACATAGTTTTTCAAGATCCAAACCACTTTGTGGACCATTCAACACACGATCCAACATTTGCGTGAGCTCATTATTGAAATCGTCAGCTCCTCGACCTGCAAACTGTTGTGAAGCAATTGGAGAACTGCGAGACTTAACATAAACGTAAAGTAAAGAATAGATCATAACTAATTTTCTAACAATGAATCCAATTTACCATTCGACATTACAGATAACCCTTCCCCTTTTAGCCTTTATCTCGGCAACATCTTCTTCGACACCGTCTAATTCTATTGCACCAAGTTCAACTTTAACACCAACTAATACGTCAGTTCCTTCTCCCAGTCTACAACGAGCACTTCCACTAGCCTGCGTTATAAGACCGGTTTCCAATATTACTTGACGATAATCAAGACGTCCCCTGCCGTCCGCACGGACATTAGCATCAACTCCCCGAAGAATATAATCATTTTCCGAAGGTGAAATCAATGTTGGTGGCATTCTAATAAATTTTTGAGAGATATTTTTTTTTTAAGGATCTTATAATTTTATGTGCAATGTCGATCCAAATGACTCGTGTAACTATACTATAATAGGGAAAAATAACATAAAAATCATTTATTAAAAGTAAAATTGAATATTTTTATGCATAAATCTTTTTTAAATGTAAAATAGATTGAAATTCTGAAACTAATATTTAAAAAAGTCAAGTTATATGATAATGAAATTGGTAAAGCTTGATAAAATTAAAAGCCTGAAATTGGTAAATTTATTTAGGATAATGAAAAATAGTTTTAATAAGCATCAACTAACATGCCCATTTCTTTGTGAAAAATTTGACGCAAAAAAATAAAAAATAAAATACATCTCGCTGTTGCAAAAATTACCTTCTTGACCCTATACGACAACCCGTAATGTCGATCCTATATATGGAGCCTTTGCAATAGAAAGGGGGAAAAATCAAAAATAAGTTAATGCTAAATTTAAACATATTTCAGCATAAAAATCATATTTGGCATATAAAGTAAAATTAATTTTTCCTGGCAGTTTCCCCCCTTCTATTGCAAAGGCCCCATATGATCGTCATGGTGGGTCAAGAAGGTAATTTTTGCCTCGCTGTCACATTTGAAATGTTTAACCACATGTCTAGGATACCTTCAAGAGTTTTAGGTTTTACTGTTTTTCGTGATATATTTAAAAAGTCTGTATCAGCTTTTATTGCTACAACAAAGGAAGAAAAACTTGTAGTCCGAAAATATAATACAAAGGAACTTATTGAGTTTTTGAGAGGGATAAAAGAATTAAATCTTGAACAGGCGGAACTTGATATATTCGAGAAGGAGAAATTTACTGGTGATGTCTTTCTTGAATCAACCCAAAAAGATCTTCGAAGTTGCAGATTAAAATACGGGCCAGCTCGAAAAATCGCGAAACTCATTGAAGAAATAAATCCTATGTTTACTGTTAAGTGTTTTATAATATGAAGTGTAAATATCTTCTCTGGTTTGCTATATACTGTCATCACTTCTTTGTAGAACGTGCTAGGAGACCTACTGGGCTCGTACATGTTTTCGTTGACAATTCCAATACTTTCATTGAGGCAAGATATACTGTTGGAGAGCTTGAGGACTATTTTGACTAAATAAGAAATTCATCCTACTTTAATAATCTTCATATCGACTATGAACGCCTTCTTACAACAGTACAGAATAGACGTAAGCTAGGTGCATCTCCCGTTATTGTTGGCCCACGACCACTTCCCAATGATTCACTATGGAATAGTATTCGGAAGGTAGGATATGATGTAATCGGAACTTTGATAATATTGAGAAGAAAGTTTGTAATGAAATTTCGGTTGCCATGATGAATACCATTAGATATTATGATCTGGGTATAATAGTGCTTATTAGTGGTGATGGTGACTTTGATCCTACAATAAAACAAATCTTGAAGGATAGATGGACGATCGAGACATGGTTCTGGACATCTGGTACGAAATATTAAAGTTTTTGTAGCAATGAGTCATTAAAGTACTGTACTTAAAAAATATATGCATTTCATAGGTATATCTAAAGACTTTATATCAATCACACATTACAGACCTTTGGATAATTTATATAAATCTTTCACATATTGTTACGGATCTGACATTACTAGGAAAAAGTATGGACTTAAGATTACTGATAGTAACTCCATTCGGAGTTGGAGGACTGAAGAGATAATGGGCTTTTATGAAGCTTTAGACTTATTCTGTTGGTACAACCGATTAGATAGAAAGACTTTATGCTTGTATTTTAATGATTTGGAGCAATTGGAAAAAGCAAAGCATTGTATGAAAACTAATCATCCCAATTTACGGGTTTTGGAGGAAGATGAGAGTTTAATTAATCCAATTCATAATTCAATGCAACATCTTTAATTGAGTCATGCTAATCTGACAGGATTTAAAAACAAACAAATATTTATAAATGAAACCATAAATGGTACAAAAGTTAAATAAAATACAAGAAAAAATTTTCCTTTTTTAAAACTTCAGCTAGATTTTTTGTCAACAACAAATCACGAGACTTAATAAATTAAATGGGGCCATTGCAATTTCAGAGACTGTTAAAGTGGATTGAATATAATATTTCGGAGCCTATGGACATTGATAAAGATTTCTCCCAATGTGAGATTAATTCTTGCTATACGCTGTTCACTTGTCATTCATATCTATATATACTGTACATAGTAGAATTTATTGCCCTCGTATGTCTTTACTTTAAATTGCAGTCATGTATCTTATCAACAAGCAATTTTATATATTTGGAAAAATTATCGAGATACAACAGGTTATGCGACCCACACAACTAACTTTGTAATATTAAAATTAGGACCTGACTATCTATGACAAAACTGTGTTGGAAACGACGAGATATTACGCGATTTTAAAGGTATGAATATTTTTCTTTGTTGTAGTAATGAAATATAAAATCTTCTGGGCTTATAAGCCAATAGTTCAGGATTTCGAAGACAAACAATGTAAACTTCCGGTGGAGCTTTTTTAAGGTTAATGCTGTTGATTTACAGCATATCTCATATTAGTATAACTGACGACCATTTTATTTTTTCCAGAATATCGATATTAGGACAAATAAATCAGATCAGAGCTAGTGCTAGGATAATTGTGTTAATATAGATAACGAAAAGCTGGTGTGGTCCGTTTCACTTTGTAAAACAAATCTGTGTATTACTGAATCATGTAATTTATTTCTACACCAATAAGGCCCGCATTTAACAGTAATTCTGGTCGCAACATTTTTTTTATCTATGCTAATGAACTTTTGAATTATTCCATCTTGTATAAAAATAATATCGATCATGCAATCTGATATTGATTCATTGAGACAATGAATTTCTGAGCTTGAGGCTAAGAATGCTGAGATTAAAGCCGAGAATTCAAAGCTAAGGTGAGCTATGGAAGAAAATTCTGAATTTAAAACCGAAATAGCAAAGTTAAGGCATGATTTCGACGAAATTAAACAGCAAATCCAAGACATTACTAACGTGTAAGATGCGTGTTCTATTAGAGATGCTGTTTTTCAAAGGAAAACAGCTGTTGATATATACCTAGCTCTGTCATAGACCAGTGCGTTAATGCTCAACCTAAATTATTGAAGGACAGAGAGGCAGATGCCTTCTTGGATAAGGTGCATAAGAAAAGGTTAGTGATGAGATCAGGTAAAGGAAACGAGAGGAGAAGCTTTGAAACCAAAACTCGCTTAATCAGCTGTTACCATCAAAGGAGGATTCAAATGAATAAAATTCTCAATTTTGAAAAATTACATAACAAAGTATATGATCAACATATTGACGAAACTATATAGGATGACCGGTCAGATCGTAACTCATCCTCCAAAAAGGATTCCTGAGATGACGATTTCATTGTCCCTTCTGAGCAGATAGTGGAACATGACTTGATGCAATAATTATCTGTCCCATCCACTAGTATAGATGCAGAAATTCCGCTTACTCCACCAGTAGTTGATAAAAAACAGCAATTTTCTGTTATAGCAGAGTATAGTCTATATGTTTTGAAAAGCAGTCATAAGGAGATTTTACACTGGTACGGCTTTGCAGAGAATTATGACAAAAGAATTAGTGAGATTCGTATTATCAACAAAGTTAAAATCAATACTGCAAAACAACAAGTATACCAAGAAGTTAAAAGACTACTTCCTGATATTAGTAATGTTAATCTACGTCAACAACTATCTAAAACTAAAAAAATCTACAATCTCTTTAATGCTATAGGAATAGAAAAAATTGAGTGTGACTTTGAAAATGATCACTAATGATCATCAAAGTAATGTAATTGCTTTGATTATACCTGAAGTAAGTGTGTCAACTGTGTCAACTATACCTATTCCTTTAACATACAGTGGCTTCCAAAAGAAACGCAAGTGACATTGCTTGCCTTTAAATGCCTGTAACTCACTGTGCACGAATGCTAGAAACATTATTTTGTATTTTATTTGAACCTC